CACGCACCCATGTTCTTGGTCCTGAGGATGCTGTAGCAGCGTGTGGCTGTGTCGGAGATGATGCCGAGGAAAAAGGCGGGGTTCTTTCCAACTCCCTGCCGGAACGGGAGCTGAAGCACGCATGCGTGGAACCTACGGGAGGAGGGGTGCTGAGCAGTGACGTGTGTGCACGCACCCATGTGTGTGTACACGTGTGTGTGCACTTACATGTGTGCACCAACACGAGCAAATTGGGGTAGCTCTTCATACCTGCCTGCTTACTGTGCACACAGGGTCCTGTGCTCATGTGTGCTTCTGGGTGCCTGTGCACATTTATGTAAATGCCGCATGCATCTGTGCGAAAGATGTGGCTGCATGTCTCTGTGCACACGTGTCTGCTTGTGTCGGCTGTGTGTGTGATTGCACCACCTGCTGGGCTGTTTTGGTGGCCCCAGAATCCATGCTGAGGCTTAATACAGCACCCCCTTCCTCTGCCCCCCCCCACCTCCTCCCCAGCTATGACCCTGCCTGGCATGAGGGGGCCTCCTTTGTCATGCTAACAAGGGCACCCCAGGGAGGGTGGGTCCTAAACCCAAGGCTTCCCAGTGTCACAAAGAGAAGGACAGAATCCCTCTCAGGAAGAGGCAAGCAGGCAAAATGACTGACAGACAGACAGGCCAGACGCTGCAGTGGACAGGCAGGAGGGGCCGTCACAGCCCACCCTGAACCAGGACTTCTGTCTCCAGAGCTTGCGAGCCTCCCCCCTCCCCAAGTGTCCATGATAGCAGGTCCCGGGTACTGGGCCCGTGCACCTGAGGCCTCCCTCACAAGGCTTGGGAAGGCAGGTCCCCCAGAGTTTACTAAGAAAAGGCCACTGGCCCAAAGGCACAGGGCCAGGAGGGGCCGTTTAAGAGGACCTCTCACAGGGCAGGGGCGGTTGCCCACCTCGGCTCTGAGGGCCTGGGGACTCAGTGTGGGGCAGGGGGCCTCCATCAGTGGGACCTCTCACTTCCCTAATGGCCCCCACCCCCACCCCCACTCAGCCGTTAGAGCCTGCCTGAAGGACCAGGTCAGAGGGCCAGGATAAGGTCTGGGAGTCACCCGGGTAGGCACAGGGTGTCCTGAAGTGGCGCTGTCTATAGGGCTGGTCACCTCCATGATGTCTCAGCCGGCTCCCACCCCT